GTGTGTGCATCCAAGGTGTGACGAATAGTAAGAAACGCTGTGTGCAAAGATATTAAGTATTTCTTTAAGTGAGGCTGTTTTTTCCGAACTATTTTTCCAACAAAACGTACATTATGGCAGTTGTCACGTTAATAAAATCTGTTGGGATAATATTTTGCTTCTGTATTCTCTCACTGCAAAGGATATCAAAGTAAAACGTTAGAGCATACTAATATCCAGTTTATATGGATATAGTGTTTATTGAAATAAAGTTTCTATCCAAGAGGTTGAAAAAATGATTAAAGTTCGTAATAAAATTATAAGTAGCAACAAATTTTGGAACTTTTTAAAACTGATGTAATTCCAATCAAAACAGCATTCACTCTATTAACATCAATGATTAATGCTAATGTAATATTAGATAAAATGAAAAGAAAAAAACTGTAACAAGTATCATAAATAGTCTTGATGAAATGGACCCTGCATTGTCCTTAGCTGTATGGAAGTCTATGCATACCATGTAAACAAAATAAATACCACTGTAAACAAAATAAAGGTAAATAATACATTTACCTTCATAATAATTATTTATATTAATATCGCGAGTTTATAATATTAACTAATACATTCTCTTTTCAGGACTGGTACAGTGTAATAAACTATTATTACAAAAATTATGGTGTGTTTTACAAAATGGAAGGCAATGTTGCGCTAATATTATTTATCCGTATTCATTACCATTAGTTAATTTCAAAAATTATGTGTTGATCCTCGTCACTTGTATACAAATTTCTTTACAAACATGAGACAAGGTTATTTATTCAATTAATTAAATTAGATGTTTTTTGAATGTATTGGAGCACATTAGAGTATACATATTTATCCTTTTTTCAGATTTTTTATACAAAGTGTACAAACAAATCAATATGAAGCGCTTGCGGTAACAATGTCATTTGTCGAATGTTTCGGCTATTATATTCTTTTAAATGTCAATAATCAAAATCTAATTAATGGTCCGCTCAAAGAACAGGTTTTTATCCTATCCATTTATGTTACAGTAAAAAGTATAACAGTGTAACTGTAGCAGTGGAGCGTTTACTTTAAAAGTAGTCAAATCGTTTCTTCTTTTTTTAATTTTTTTATTTTGAGATGATTTTATACCATTTAGCATATATTATATCAATTGGGAATGCAAAGATATTTTTCTCTCGAAAATTGTAAAAATTCAAATTTATTATGGTAAATATTAAAAAATTTTTTTGATGACTAAATTCACTATGGCTGAAAGAAAATTGAAATTTTCGCTTTACAACGACTCCTTGAAACTCGCTGCACGATTTTTTTCATCATTTTGTTAAACTTTGAACTTTGGAGTTGGACGACAAAGTGGTAAGTTCCCTTGAACTTTTATATTTTTAATATTCAACACAAGATTGAAAATATTCGCCATTGAATATGTACAGTTGTGCTCTTCACTGTGTATACCATAATGATTTCTGTAGGAGAAATGTTTAAAATTTATGAATTAATTGTTGCAGTTTATACCATTATTAGAAATATGTTTAAAAGAATATAGCCCGCTGGCACACATATTTTTCACCGAAATTACTTATTTAATACTGGAATAAAAATCGATACAACAAAGATTATAAATCTTATGTTTGTTTCATAGAAGAATGTTGACGAAATCTTGATATGCTATTCAGTTGACCTGTAAGTACCAGCACTCAAACTGCGTTTTTAATCACATTGAGAATAGCCCTTGATTACGGTCGTAAAAATTCAGAGATTCTATAATTCAGAAGAAAATATAATGAATCTCAAGCACAAAATGTAGAGAACGATACTGATATTAAATTCCTTGCCGAGCTTAAGAATTTCGTTAATTTCATTTGCGTGAAATGTTTTAACCGAATCACTGAAAAAGGATACATTACATACCTAAACAAACTTACAGCTTATTTCAAAGGGGATGATGCGCTAGAAAATCTGTTTGGACTTCTTAACGCAAAAATTAATTTTTTTAACTTTTACAATGAAATTTTACGAAGTTGGTTGCTGGAGCAAAGGCAGGACATTGAAAATATAACGGAACTGATGTTTAATCTAATGAAATACATGAATCATTCTGAAAGAAATGAAATTTTGGAATCATTGACACAAGTAAGAATAAGTTCTTTTACGTATTTTTAGAAAGATATATATATATATATATATATATATTTTTTTTTTTTTCTTGGTTTGTTTGTCTATATACTATTTCTTTTCAGTTCGATATTCTAATAGTAAAAGATGTTCTACGATACGCTTTATCTGAGATACATAGGAATGATGATATAGCAAAAAATTGGTATTCACAGTCTAAAATTATTACTACATTGACAGTTACAGCAAAACACATTACTTTATATTATTCAAAAATATTAGTTGGCAATGATTATTTTGATCTGAAAAAAATCAGAATCTTATGTTATTATTGTTTGAAGCTCTAAAAGAAGACGGTATGGTATTTTCATTTCGATTACATTTTATTATTATGGCATACATATTATAAATAATTTATACCTTATTTTTTTTTTTTAGATCTGTCAACAAACGAAGAAACAATAGTCAATGAAATCATATCTGTATTTTGCAATTCATTTTATAAAATAGATGAAAAATATTTTCTGGATTTCATGAACTTTATTTATTGTCTAGTTCCAATAGCATGGTCTAACAAGAAAACAATAGTTGGGTACGAATATTAGAAATTCTTTTCGAACTACGTTTGAAAAATTACTTTGATTGTAATCATCTTTTCACCAATGTAATACGAAGTATGTGGACAAAAAGTCTTCTGGAAACAGTCCGAAAATTATTACAATCACGTTTATTAACGTGACTAAATTGTGTGCAATTTTTATGTGGAATAATTACAAAATGTAAGACAATTACATTACATTATTTATAAAATATAAATCTTTAATTTATTTCTTATAACGTACACCTTATGTTTCAGATATCAAGAACGTATAAGAAAATATCATTCGTATAAGAAAGAAATATTAGTCAATACAGCAGCTGATTTTGACAAAACCATACATAATGATAAGGTTTCCTATGCAGAGGAAATTATTTCAACATTTTTAAAGATTTCTGATATAACAGCATGGATATATCAGAATAAAAAATCTAACCCGAACCTAATCCATTAAATTAGTTACTAAATAAAATAGTTGGGTTTAAGTAAAGTTCTGGTTAGGTCTTTTCTTCAGGTCGCCGTGAGGCGGCCGGCTACTCAAATCGAATTTTTAAGTACACCGGTCTACGCCGGCCGCCTCGAGGTATTTATAGGTATTTATAGAAACTATAAACAATCGGCGACTGAACGCTTACACACGCTGCCACAGGCACGTAGCTAGGCAATATTCATCGGAGTAGTAGTAATAGTTTTTTGCAAAAATCTCGGAAACTAAGGCCGAACGGCGGTTATATGTATAGGAAAAAGTTGTTCAAAATGTTAATCTCTACAACATATTCAAAAATCGTCGAAATCGGTTAGACCCCCTCCCCCCTTTTCTAAATAATTACCAAAAATTGTTAATACATTTTCAAACTACAATACATTTTCGTAAATATACATTTTTGTAAAACAGCGAACATAATATTTAAATCTTTCCCTTTTGTCCAAAGCAACGAATACAGAGATAGTGCAGTAAATATTAATGTAAATAATTCTATTCAGAATGATCGAGTAAGAATTAGCACTTAAATATCTTTGTCATTTTGGAGTTATGTAGTATATGCGTTAATTGACAGTAATAATTTTTTTTGTAGCTGGAGATTTCGGGACTTCAAAATTAACATCACTTTTTGAAGTGGAATAATATATGCATAAATCGATATTCTCTATAAAAAAAATAATGATTTATGTGTATTGAAAAATTTTTGATTTAGGTAGGAAATTTTAACTTTAAATTTGCAAAATTTGTTATATGATTTTTTATGTGATATTGTTAAACATAAAATGTTATTTATGTAGTAGGGGAAAGTAGAGTTGAGCCGGGTATATAATGTATCTAGCTTCGTAACAAAAAATTGGTTGGCAGAAAAAGATTCGCATAAGACTAAATCTCTTAATTGGACTTTATACAATAAGAAAATGACTAAACTTTCCTTTGGCCCAAAAAGCTTGTTTGGCTCATGAAAAAGTAAAATTTTCTAGAGATATGTAAAAATTTGGTTTTACGCCATTGAGGTAAGATAGGTAAAATCGGATACCTATTAAAAGACATTATGGGAACGTATAAAATGCAATATAGTTATAAAATTTTTATTTTTATTAATTAAAAATGATTATTTTTAAACAATAAAATCAGAAAAAACAGTTATTTCTAACAATTTTAATATATATTCTACTTTGGTTTGTCTCATAAAAAATTACGTGAATTATTAGTTAATTTTTATTAGTTTATTAGAAATTTTTACTGTATTTACAAAACATTTGAACTATTAAAAAAATTATATATATATCTTAACAAAACAAAAGTCACAAATGAAATCTTTTGATGACAATGAGAAACTCGCCAGTTCCGTTAATGTTATGGTAATAATTATATGGCTTCTATGAGTGCTGTTTTTTTGATATTGTCACTTTTTGCTTTATTCTGATAATTCCTATTTGTTGTTTCCGTATATTGACAGTCGAGAAATACATCAGGATTAAAAGTTGCTCTGAAAACTAGAACAGAAGTTTCTATTGTTGCTGCTTCAAAAAATGCAGCTTTGTACATCACGATTACTTCATAAATTGTGACGTTTTTTTTCGGACTTGGAAATCAACCACTTTCTAACTTCCGTAATAAGTATTTAACAATGTCATGAAGCTGACATTCATTGGCTGTAAACGATGAGAGCCTTGGGGAGGGAGGAGCATAAGATAAATCAATTTACAAGATCAATCACACGGAAACATGAGAACGATACGTACGCTGTACATAAATAGTACGAGGTAAAATTGGCTCCCGGATTTGCCACATAGTCAAATGCTCAGTTTTTCCAGATGCATTCATTTACTAATTATTAAATATTTATACTTATGTATGAGATGAAACGGTGAAAAAAAGATCAAAGTACCCTGTAAGGACTATAGAATACAAATGTTATTTATATGAATATGTTATTTATCTTCTAAATATGAAAGCACTAAAAAACAATCACTTAGGTCATAAAACATCAAACCGAAATTTTTTACTCCACCTGTACGGTATATTATGATATTGTTTGTTCTTGAAACTTGTAAAATAAGATCGTCGAAACCATTCGAATATCATGCTCGATTATATATTGAAGCATCCTTTGCAAGAAGAGCTTCTTTAAAAGTTCATGGTTGAATGTTTTCGCCCTGTCGCCTAATAATTGTAGAAGTTTTCGTAGGTACTGCGATAGCTTCCTGTCTCCTAATTCCTCCTGGCTAAGAAGTTGTTGGATTCTCTTCCTGCCGGAAACCGTGGTTCGGCTTATTATCGCCGCTTTTATGCGGTTATAAAGATTGACTTCTGGTGGGTTTCTAATTACGTCCATTACTTCGCTTACAATTTAAGTGTCCATCGTTTCAGCTACATAATCGAATTTAGTTTCCTGTCGAGTTATTCCTCGCGTTCTAAACTGAGCCTCCATCACCGCGAACCTTGCCTCTGTGAATAGTTCTTCTAGAACGGGAGTATGCTCATGCTTGCTTCGCTGATTTCTCTGTCTGTCTAATCCTGTTCGTCACGCGACTCTTTATTTTTATTCTATTTTCTCTTGTGCTCATGTTTGCTCGGGGTCACGAATTTGGAGTATGTTTTATACTAGGAAATAGTTCACTGACCAAGATGTACTTACTCCAAAATGTTGGTCGCGAGATCTGACGAAGGAATCACGTACTAGGCTTGATGTTGCGCGGAATGTATTTCACTACTTGCACCTCGAAATTCTGCAGACTTACCATATTCTTTGGTGCGTTGGTGTCGGCTCTTGTATATGTCGACTTCCTTTGAGTCCTTCCCGATCCTGACAGATTATTTTATTGTAATTTGCCTAGTCAATTTTAACAATTGGATTTGAGTATCTTATCCAGCCTTGCCTCTCGATCACATCCCATTTATGCCTCATTTAATGGGTGCACGTCGGTGCGCGCGTGATACTCGAAGCGCCAGTCTGCGAAGCAAGCCAGTTTGCTCGAAATCCTTTTCCCTCCGGACTGTTGTCATTCAAAGGGAAAGGTTTCGTTAAAAATAATTTTATCACTATACACCATCGTATTCAATTTCAATTTGTTAAATTATTTAAATTATTTTTCGTATAACTATATATATAATTTTGTTATCATTATCATGTTATCTTATAGTTAACTCTATCTGACAATATTATAATTCTAGTTCTTGCCTGTAGGTGACACCAGCGACGAATAGTTTGCAGCGC